GGGCTGCCCCATGGCTCTGCCCGGGCTGCCCCATGGCTCTGCCCGGGCTGCCCCATGGCTCTGCCCGGGCTGCCCCTTGCTGGACAGTAGCAGAGGTGCGCACAGCCCTGCAGCTCCTCAAAGATCATAGAATATAAATACCAGTCTCAATTTCCTCTTTGGACATGGCAGTGGGTAGACTGACCTAGAAATAAGGGGCTATACAACATATGTGGCTTGTGTGGAGTGTCTCATGGCAGTTAAAGCTAAACCACAGGCAAAGATTTAGACCCTGCTCCCCAGTAAACCTAGTGTTGGCAAAAATCCCCATTAACCAGATAAATTATTATTTTTAAATCATGTTTTCTGTTGTTTTCTACCTTTTTTTTTGGATGCCTTTTCTCCATGGCAAGCTATGGATTCCCAAGTAAAACAGACTTCCCACATATATTTTATAAATAACAATATTTAGTATGGGTCGTGGTTCTGATTGATGTTTGCTTTAATCTAGTTCCAGATACTCTTTTCCCCTAGCCCTAAATGTACTTTGTGGAAGGATAGGAGTAAGAAGTATGGCAAAATTCAAAACTATTCGAACTTCGAAGTTAATAAAATACTTGTGTTAAGGAAAATAGCCCAAGACATTTTATAACAGCACTTCATATCTGTCATTATATACTGGCTACAAAATTCCAATCTTGAATCTGATCGTTAAAGTCCGAGAGAGCTCAGGGTTCATAATCCAGGCTGGAAGCCAGACTTCGAAGGTTCAAGACCCTTCAAGGTCAGTAGGTGTTTAAAGTAAGAGTAGTTCTTGTCATTGAGCCTCCCATAAAACTTGTGGTGACTGTAGCTGTCAGCCTGAACATCTCCTAAATTCAGGAGAGTTTGCTAAGCTTTGCATTCCTACCTATGTGCACGCCTACCAGCTGTACTGGCTTATGCATTAGGGCATTTTAGGCGTTGACTAGGAAGATATAAAGGTCATTATTAAGTGTAAATGCATATGAGGAAGGCCATAGTAAAAGAAACTCTGGATAAATCAGCTTACTAATATTGGATCTTAAGTTTTTTGTGGAATGGGAGAAATTAGTTTTACACAAACACTGTTCTTAGTGTTTAGGCAAAATACTTTTCTAATCCTATAGGCTATAAAGCCAGAAAAGATGAAGGCAGGAAGGCACAGTTATAGTGCCCTCCATCAGACTGCTGTGCAGTACTAAAATGTGTGTTGCAATCCAAAACCATTACATAGCAAACAGAAAACGAAGGTTGAGATTGCTTTTTTAGAACTTATTTGACCCTCTGAAGCTTCAGTTTCCTAGAGATAATTAGGATTTTACTCATACTTCTACTTATCTCGAAAGAGGATTTTGTAGAGGAGCTGGTTGAAATTTTCTTATTTAATTTCATTTCCTGCAAAATGATCTTTCTTCCAAAACTGGGAGTTTCCAATGAGTTTTTGCTTTTCCGAATGTTGATCTCTTAGACTATCGTGCTGCTTGTTTATCCTTCTTTGCTCCTTTTTTCTTTTTAATCTTTTTTTGTCACTCAGTCTATAAATTCAACTCTTGTTACATTTTTATAGACATTTTTTCGTTCTGCCATCCTTTAATCTTCTTCCAGCTCCTTTAGATTTGGAGGCATTGAAGAATGGCAGAAAGAGGCTGTCCAGAAATAATCCTGAAGATTAACCATTTGTTGTGTAAAGGATTAAAAGAAAGAAGAAATCAGGAAATAAAAAAAGGACTTTCTTGAAAATAGAGGAACAAATAGAGGCAGACAGTATCATTTTCTAACCACATGGAAACAACTCCAAATTAGATTTCTAAATAAATTCTTATCTTAGTTCTCCTTTCCCACAAAGATTCTCTATAGGGATAAATCAGCAGCACCCCCTCTCCATGTCACTGTGGCCATAGAGCCTGTTTTTCACATGAATTGCATGCATGAAGCTTCTTAAGGACACGTACAATAAAAACAGTTTTATTAAGAATAAAAATCTTTATCAAAGAAAAGCAGTGATGGAGTCTGACACTTCCAGAAGTTTATTTAAATAGGCTTTTGTTACCTTGAATATAAATCATTTATCTGTCTCTATAGAGTACAATGTATGTATTTTAAACCACCTTGGTCAAGCTTTCATCTTTTGTCCTTTATCGCACAGCATCTCAAAGAAAACCTCAAGTTTCTTCCTTCTTTCAGGAACTCTTTGTTCCTTGAACTTCTTTCTCAGTAGGTTCCTTTGGACTCTCCACTGCCACAGAGGATCTTACATCTAGCATTTCTCATAGGCAGTGGTAGTTAACTATTTTCACCAACAGTTTTAAAAGTTTAGAATGGTGAAGTCAGTGTATTTGTGGATGTACAGGGGATATTTTTGCTCTAAGGGGAGGTTAAGTAGTCCAGAAAATATCTCAGGGCAATGGGGGAGAATGTAACATGAACCCAATGTGAGGAGGCCAGTGCGGATCTCTGCATAGGAGCTGGCTATCTGACCAGGGTACCTAACCCCATTTCTGTCAGTGCCTCAATGGGCACTGAGGAGCTGCCGGGGTCCGCAAGGAGCCTGTGGGAACGGTCCCTTCGTGCTTGTCGGAGGCTTGCAGCAATTTGAGGAAGGTCAAGAAACCCCTAAACCCACTGGGGAAGTGGCGGAGGTTTCGTGTCAAACCGCAGCACCCTTGGGGGCTGCGGTGCATTTGTGCTGCGCGACGTGCATGGGAGAGAGGGTGCTGCTGGCCCAGGGGCTGCTCCTGCAGGCCTCGACTCCTAGAAAGCACAGCTGCACACGTGGAAGCGATATGTGGAGCTTCTGGTAGAGCAATTCAGAATTTAATTAAGAGGAGCCCTAAGGTGTGAGGTAAAAATATGTATTGATACTATAGATATGAAAAAATAAAAATCATGTGCCTGAGGTTCTGGGTCCCAATAACCCCGTTGTATCTCAGTATTTGGTGCGCACGCTGCGTGCTCCGAGCGCGGCGCTGGTTGGGCTGGGACCCTCCGCATCGAGGATGCTGTGGTGCTGCCCTAGCCCGGGCTGGAGGGGCAGTGCTCCATAGCTGTGCTCGAGGGTGGGAGCTGGAGGTAGTCTGATCTTCCCTGCTGGGACACACCATAAAGGATACTGCAGAAACCGAAAACGGTCTGGAGCTGCACTGGAGAGATCTGCCCTCAAGCGAACGTTGCTACTTTCTTTGCCACCTACAAGTGGGCGTCTCGAATGCGTTGCTAGCACCTCGTGTACAGGTCAGTGGATCAAGGAGCATGGGCAGAACAGCTGCGGATGGGACTCGAGCTGTGTCTCGAGGCTGAGCACAGGCCCATCCTGAGAGCTCAGGGAGGGTGGGAAGATGCCGATTTCCTCTTGTCCAGGTTTCAGTAGCTGCAGGCTCCTGTTGCCAGGGTTTCTATGCCAGGAATTGCTTATACCTGCATTAGAAATGGAGAATCAGTTATGCACAGCCCACAAGTGTCTGAAGCAGTTCAGCTTCTGCTTTGTACCCAAAATGCTGCTGGCTACTGTGTAAGGGCTTACATGATAAAGAAGTTCCTCCCTGTGGATATCTGCTCCTGGCCAGTGACCCTGACAGAAACTAGCAAGTTGTCTCCCCAGAGACATTTGGGGTGCCTTGTGCTGTGGCAAGAGTGGAACAGTTGCATGTTCCTTTCTCATGCATAAGATTTTTTCTCTCCACTGATGTGGAGCAGTTTGATTTCTAGGAGCCAGCCCTAGATACAAAAGCTCCCTGGAAATCTTGCTTTTTATTTCCTTTTTCAGCTGCGTGGCAACATAAACTGTTATCTACCCTCTTGTAAGAATCCCACCCACCTAGAATGGCCAGGAGACACAGCAGGGAGCCCTCTCACCCAGTGAAAGCCTTGCAGCAGGAACAGGTACAAGGGTAATTAGACTTAACAACCTCAGATTCTTGGCTTCTTGGCGGCGTTCACTGCTGCCATGGGCATGTACTCGCTGTTGTACTCGTGGGAGTTGGAGTCACACTGTTGATTCTGCAAACAAAATGCCAGGAGTTCAGTTTGTGGTCACCAGCCTCACCCATTCCTGCCTGTTTTCTTTAAATAAGGCAGTTATCTCTACTGAAGACAGCCAGATCTGATGGTCAGAATAGGCAGGCATTCACATAGGTAACTTGGAGCAGGACAAACCCAAAATGAAAAGCACTGTCCAATGAACGTAACTAATGTGCATGGTCTCCTTTCTTAAGGCATCTTGCTTTCATTTGAGTGGTTTTACTGCAGAAGGGAGCTGGAATTATTCCACAGATGATTTGTTTTCCCCTCTTGAGGAAAGCAATCAGGTGAATTGCTTAGAGTATTTTTGCTGACCTGTGCAGCTCTGCCCCTCTTGCCTTTGATTCCCGATCTTTAAATCAATAAACAATTTTGTTTTGGAGAAATTAAATCTGAGCAGCTGTCATCAATGACTGAATTCCAGTAGTAAATTACCAAGTCAGTCTCCTTCTCAACACACGCCTCCCATGCTGAACATGAGCCTCTCCAACCCTCTAAATCTCACTAAATCAAGTTCCCTCTCCATGACCCTCAGAAGGAGGGCTCTGCAGAACTCCCAGACTGACTTACCTTGTTCCTCAGGCAGCAGACTACCACACAGCAGACACAGGAGATCATGGCAAATGCTGTCAGTCCAATAGCTATCCCTGACACAAGTCCTGGAGAGAGGCACTTTTCCTTATCTGGGGAGGGGGAAACAATGTCATGGCTTGAGAATTAGCATTTTTTATGTTCTTAAAGATAACCTTCCAGATTTTTTTCCTCTCTTTATTAATGAAATAGCAGAAGTGAGCTGTGGAGGAAGATGCTGCTAAGATGGAAAGCCGTCCTGGGGGAAAGGAGAGGAGCAGATCAGTAAGCTTACCTGGGATGTACAGATAGGTTTCGTTCAGCCTGCACTCTATGTAAGGAGGGGGCAAGAACACCTCCAGGCAGCAGGTATAGATGCCCGTGTGCTTTCTGTCCAGGTTTTTGAGAGTGAAGGTGGTGCTGCTGTTGGAGTGCTCTGCATCACAGTAGGTGACGTTGCTCTCGGGAATGGCTCGCCCTTTGCTCACGTGGAGCGCGCAGATCTGCTGCTTTTCGTGCCCTTTGAGGAGGATCATGCTGAACTCGCTCACGTTTTTGGGGTTGTGGAAGGTGAGCTTGAAGTTTCCGCTACTAAAATCCACCACCAGCTGCGGGTCAGAGACATGAGGCCGATCTGAAGGCACGAAAATAAAAAGTAGTCACTTACATAGCAATGAAGAGAATCCCTAAAATGAGAGGAAAATCATTCAAATAGACAGAGAAAACCATATAATTTTGCCTTAACTGAGAGGCCTCTTTCCACGTTGATGGAGGCCTGTTATAAAGGTAAAACCTAACTATTTCTGTGGCTATATCACCCTTTTTACTCCCAGAAGGGGAGGAGTGGAGGACAATCACTGTTAGGCATGGGTTCACATGCAATCCAAGAATCACACTAGCCCTTCCCTGAAACATTGACAGAAAAACTCAGAACTTGTGCTAATTCCATTCTGCATCTTTTTTCCATTTTTATTTTCTTGGAGAAAAAGCAAGTGAAGTGACTGAAAAAAACTGAGTGTCAGTTTGCTGTAAAGATATGACAGTTTTCTTCCTCGAGGTCAGTATTTCTGATCTAGGAGTTGTTTGCAGCAATAAACCAAATTATGCAAAAGTAATTAAACAGCTTTTAAAATGTCTTACCTATATTTTTGCATAATCGTGATGAGCAGGTGTCAGCTCCTGAAAAAGACAAAATTGTTTCCTGTTTAATGTTTAGGGAGGGAGATGGAGGCAGGGGGAGACCTGGGGAGGCTTAAATTGCTGCTGTGGTTTTTGTAATGTGAGTTTCTGATGCTCCTGGTCCTGTCTATCTGCTGCCCTGTCAAATCACATGATGTGATAAAATCCCAAGTTATAGAAATCAAAGTAGAAAGAAAACCATTTGAGTAATACTTAATATTGATCATTTGTATAGTACATACAAATACTTAAAAGCTCTGAAAAGTAGGTATTTCTATTTTATTTATATTTATAGTTAATTTCTACTTTTAGAATTTTGTTTATATTTCACTTCTATGTGTATCCACTTCTGTCATAAATACAGAGGAGATGAATGTAATTTTTTTCCAAAGATACAGAAGAAAAGTGCCCCTGACCTAAGAAATGTTGTCTCGGGTCCTCCGGAGCCCAGCCAGGCAGCGTTATTCGCTGTGTCCATCCAGCCCCAAATGCCTGGTGTGCTCTGTTCCTCCTCCTCCCCTGCTCCTCAGCATGCACCGAGTGATCTAGTCTGAAGATGGCTTTCTGGGGACACTTCTAGAATAAGTATTTGGTGATGCTGTGAGCTGCACAGCAAGGAAACGCTCAGGTGGCTGGTAGTTTTCTTTCTTCTGGGCTGTTCTCTTTGTGGCTATCGACTACATTCAGCCCCGTGTCACGGCCAGCCCCGCTGACAGCCGCCTGGCGCATCCTAAAGCTGTTCTGGGGTTTTTGGAGCCGACAGCTCTGTCGCCACTCACATGGCAATACAGAGAGAGGGGTTTTCAGGCTGGGTTAGGGCATGTGCTGCTTGGGAAGGGTCCACGTGGCAGTAGCAGCAGGCAAAGCGCGGCTGGGGACTGCTTGGGGACTGCTTCATTTGGAGCTGTTCTGCAGTGCGCTCTGGTATGGTTTGTGCTACAGCTAGGTAGGAAAAGCAGTATCTGCTCTCCCTCTCCCGCAGTACTGGGAATGTTCCTCAAAGGCCCCTTGGATTGCAGGACACCCCACACCAGCATTTCACAGTGCTAAGGAAGAAGGGGGCAGATAGTCACCCTTATTGCTGTTGTTAAACGTTGCCTGATGCCCAGTGGTGCGGGGTGCTTCACCCATGGCCCAGCACCTGTAATCTTGTTCCCCGGGTGCCTGTGATCCTGCAGTGCAGCCTAAGCTGGAATTCCTTCGTCTGCGCCTTTGTAGGCACTGGCCCAGGATCAGCCTTGCGCTCCACACTCGAGCAACCCTTTAGCTTTCTCCTGCAGCCCAAGCGCGTCACTGACAAGGGCATTTCAATTAATACTTGTTGAATGTGTTTTTAGTGCAGTGCATGAGCTGAAGGACTTCTGGGAGGATCCGTGGTGTGTGCTGGAAGCAGTGCCAGCCGCTGTCCCGTTTGACTGATCCATCCTCTTCAGACTTATCTGACTCTTCCCGCTCTGCTGTGCGCAGTCAGCAGCCCTATCTGCTGCAGTGACAGCTCTAATATCTGCACTTCTTTCAGACTATTACTTAAGTGTGTGATAACAGACGAGGTATTTGGCATCCTGTAGGGTGTTTGTTTTCCCTCAGTGCATAGTGAAACTGTTAAACCCAGTTTCTAGGGTGCTGTAGTGCTACCTATTGAGGCACGCTGCGAGGGGGCACTTCCAGCTCGGTGGCCTTAGCTGACCAGAACCAAGGGCCAGCAATGTTTCTGGACAAGGTGACTAATGCTGGGATCACTCCAGGAAATCACCCATCGTGGACTATTTCCCTGCTCTGTGACACATTGTGAGATACTGAAGCTGTTGTAGCGTCCGCAACTACCACAGCAGCCATTTTTGGTCATATTTCACTGTGCAGAGGGCCTGGGTTTCCTCCTGCGCCGGCGAGGGCAGAGCTGTGGGCGAGCAGGGGTAATGCCCAGCTGGTGAGTGGAGCTTCAGGTGCAGCTGCCCGGGGCCCTCAGCCCCTGTGCTCCTGTGCAGAGCCCGGAGACTTGGGCTCCCTGCCCTTGCAAGCAATTCATCACCCTTGTGTTGCAAGTGACCCAAGGCATGTACGTAGTGCTTCCGTGGCCTATTTTCATTGAAAAAACTAACCACAGCTCCGAAGTAAGCCTGGCTTATCTCTAAACCAAATAACATTCAGAGGTTACTCCATTTCCACTCCTGAAAACTTGCCCTGGTGCTTGTAAGCCCTCTTGACATGTCAACATGCCCCTTGATCAAGTGGACCGTGCTGATCTCTCCTTCATCACACTGATCTCTTACAGCCCTTTCCTTTCTAGCAGTGGTGCTAATTACTGCTTGGAAGTAGTGTAAGAACTTGGAAGCAGTGTAAGAAAAATAATCCGAGATGCCATTTTTCATTTCTTCCTTTCTCCTAATGTCTGTCGTCTCTGCACAGCCTGTTCTGCCGGTTTGAAGGAAGGGGGAAATGCCGCCGTACAGCAGCAGTATTACCTGCACCCCTAAACTGCAGTCTGTTTCTTTCCCCCGGGCGCAGCCCCTTGGGCAGCCCCGGCCACGTGGGCTGCACGTGGCAGCGAGGACACCTGCCCGAGTGCCCAGCAGAGACCCTGGCCGTGTCGCAGGGCCTGGCGCTGCTGCGTCCCCGCGTAGCCCCTCGGGGGCCGCTCAGGGCCCCAGGGAGGTGCTGGCCCCAATCCTCCCTCCCTGCCATCTCAGTCATCTCCTCGATCTTGCTGAAAACCCAGCATGCTGTCGCTGTGCTAGTTAGCCCTCACAGGGGTGTCTGCATTGCCTGAGAGCTGGGAAGTGTTTCTTACTTAAGGCTCCAGTTGTGTATGAAGCCTCTGGAGTACTAAACTGCCACTGCAGGACTTGCAACCTCTCCTAAATCTGTGGCAACTCGGAAACACCTGTAGCCACTAGCCCTCGGCACAGCCTTTGGAGCCATGTGCTTTATAACTGTGCCCGTGGAAGTCCAGGTCTATGGTGTGTAATGCCAAATCACTGGACAGTCTAGATATCTAAATAGAGACTCTTAATCAGGTACTATCTATATTCCCATCTGGACCTGGAGTACAGGTTCCTGAGACAAATGGGTGCGATGGTGCCTGTCTTTGCACAGCTGCGATGAACCACAGAAGCTGGTAACATCCATGCTCAGGGCTGCACCGAGATCAGCACTGCCACCCTGTCCCTCCTTACAGATGGCTCTAGAGCGTGGCACCTCCGTTAGAGCCCCTCCGAGTCGCAAGCCCGCAGTGAAACCATCTCTCCTCACTGCCAAACCGTGCGTGTCTTTCAAAGCACAGAGATTCCCTCCCAAACACGAGCAGGGCTAGTATCAGTATCTTGGCTCTCTTCACAAAGCTGTGTGTAAGAGCGGGCTCAGGCGGGAGCCCTGCAGCCCCGGGCAGCGCCGAGCGGGTGAGGAATGTCAGCAGGACATGCTGCTTCTCTGTGCAGGACTCCCAGCACGTGCTCTGTGCCAGCCATGACTCTTCCCAGTGCCCCGGTGCCGCTGAAGAGCCCTCTCTTTGCTGCCATTTCCCTTGAGCATCTCTAGTCCCCCAGCCCTCACTTACTGCCCCCTTCATCAGACAGATCATATTCCACGGAGACAAGTGCTGCAGGGAGAAGAACCCCAAAAGCTACTTACCCCACAGGGGCTCAAACTGAAAGCAGAGGAGCCAGACGGTGACAGCCGCCAACTTCATGCTTGCCTGACATAGAGACAGCAGCCTTCTGCCTCCTGAGAGCAGCAGAGGAATTCATGGGTAGCAGAGGAAGTGGTTTGTGGGTGATGGGGGAAATTATGCGACAATCAGAATCGATTTAAACCCCTGCCGACGTTGGCGCTATGTCAGACGCGCTGTCGCCCACACCTGTGCAGTTTGTGCTTTTTTCCTACTTCACGCGTTGCTGTCACAGACAGGAAGACGAAGGATTTTGTCATAACCTTCGCTCTTTGCTGGCACCAAGAGGGCTCCTCGCTGCACGTACCGTGGTGGAGGCTGCCATGCTCTGCGTGCCCGGCGGTCAGCGAGGCGCTGCCGCGTCGCCTGCGCGTGGCTGTGCGCTTGCGACGGGCCGTGCGGCTTCGCCCGAGCCGCTCCAGCCACCCCTGGGTGGCTCATGGCCTTGCTTGGTGGGCACATGGTTAACCAGCAGGGCGAGAAGCGGCTTGTTCATCCACATGCAGTGGAAAAGCCAACTGCAGAAGGGCCCGTGCAGCCCTGCGCCTTCCTGAGGCCCTCGCTGGCCGAGCGCTGGTGCCCTGGAGCCCCAGGTGCCCTGCGGGGATGGCCAGGGCTTCACGGGAGGGATGTGACCTGTGTCCCAAGCCAGAGACTTTCCTCTTCCCCCACTGTGCTTTGGCCTGTGATCCGTGTGATTGTGGGAAGTGTTTTAGGACTCGTTGCGATAAAATGTGCTACGTTCTCTTAGACCTGGCTATTTATATGCATCTATAATACTGATTTTAGGGCAGATATAAAATGCTGGAAAAGCGGCTTCTGTGTCAGGAGCGTTTGGTGTGTGATCGCTGTAGTGGCCAGGGTGCAGCTCGGGGTCGGTTGGGCAGCACCCAGGGCTTCGGTGTAGGTGGTTGTTCCTTCCAGGCGGCCACAATAAGCGGGCAGAGCCGGGCACCCGCAGCACATCTCTGGCAGCCAAGAGACCCACGGATCTCACTCGGGATGCAAAGCCAGGGCCCCTTCTCTTCTCTTCACTCCCAAACCCCTTGGTCGCGTTCACTATCCTTAGCATTTCAGCCTTTGCCCCTCTCCTCTGCCAGCGTTTCCCTCCTGTGCCAAGGCTTTTGGAGCGTTTTCATCTCAACGCTGCCGCTGGCTACCGTTAGCACCTGGGACAAGCTCTGTGTTTCCCCAGCGCGCTTCCTATCGCTCTGAGTGCTGCTGCTTGCAAACACGTGTTTCCTTTTTCCATCCTCAGGCCCACTCCTCTTCCTCATTTCAGTTTGCACTCTTTCATCCACCTGCTCCTCTCAGGGCTCATTTCTCTTTTCCTGACCTTCCTCTGCTCATACTCTCCCACTGATGAGCTCCTTGTTTTTCCTGTCCCCCTCGCCAGCTCACTGGCTGTGAGGAGGCTGGGAGATCCTTACTGGTGTCTCTGTGTGTTTAAAGCTGCAGCCGGTGCAATCCCAGGTTCCTGGTGAACACCCATGAGTCCCGTTCAGGCAGCACCCACGGCTCTCCATCTGGCTGCTGCTTTCAGTGCTTCCCCCTATGGCTTCGTAGGCCTGGGCAGCTCCGTGTCGGTGCCTCCCGAGGAGCCCGGCTCCGGGCGAGCGCTTGCCATGACGAGCAGCGCGTCCGCTCGCCCTGTTTAACCTCTTGCTGCTCCTTGGCCTCGTCGCATGGCGCAGCTGAGCCCCTGCCCGCAGCAAAGCGACGTCTTCTCTCCCTCAGTAAAATCTTCTGTGATCCTTTCAGCCGAGGCGGCTGCGGTCCGTCCGCACAGCCCGTTGCCTCCTGCTGCTCCTCGGCCCTTGCTTCAATACGTGCCCTATATTCTCGTGCCTCGGGGTCGCTCCCTCCGGGCGGGAGCAAAGGCTGTGCTCTCCAGCCTCCTCTTTCCTGGCCCTCTCATTGAGAAGGGAACAATGACTTTGGCTGGGTTATTTTTAGGGATCGGTGAGGGCTTCCAAGCCTGCTCGCCAGCAGCGGGAGGGCAAGCGGCAGCAGCGCAGGCTGCGGAGGCTGTGAGCGCAGCCCGCGGCGCTGCCGGCGTTTGCAGCACGATGCTTATTGGGGCGTTGGTTGCTGTTTATATGCAGCGTTGGGCCGGTTGCCGTTTGGAGGCAGCCTCGTGTCTCGCAGCAGTCGCTGCTCGCAGGAGGCCTGGCCGGGCCGCGGGCTCCTCTCGCGGCAGGGCCGCGCGGGGGAGCTCCTGGGCCGCCGACCGGGACCCTCCGGCCTCCTCTGGCTCTGCCTCCGCATGCCAAGGCCGGCGGGCTGGGTTACTGAGCCTGTCTGCATGAGGAAGTGGCTGGGAGCGGGCCTGGGAACTGCTAGGGTGAAGCAGACGCCTCTGTGCGCGTTGGATCGGCAGGGCTTGTGTCCACAGTGAGAAGCGAGGATCATGTGAGATGCAGTAAGGAGAGGAGGTTGGAGGTGCTGCCCTGCACATCTTAAACTGGAAATAAGGGCAGCGTTCTCCTCCTGGCATCCCCAAGGGTGTGAGGGAGAGGAGGATGTACCGCCTTTCCCTGGCGTTGCCACAAGTGCAGGATACTCAAGTGCCGTGCAAAATGAGCCCTGTCAGGCAACCCGCAGTCGTGAGCCCAGCAAGAAACATTGCTGCACAAGCAAAGGCAGGCTCCAGTGATCAGCGGCCAGCATTTTCCTCTCGGACCTGCCTGGCAAGCCCCTAGCCCAGAGCACAGGCAGGGAGTTGGTGCTGTGCATGGCAGACAGCTCTGGGCTTGCATGCGCACAGGGAGGGAGGATTCGGCCTCTGCACGAGCAGCCACGGGCACCGAGTCTGATTTGCTGCTCTGTCACATCCCTCCAGGAGGGCTACGTGGAAAGCCCTGCAGGGCAAGGGGCTGTTCCTGCTCCCAGGAGCAGCCGAGGATGCCAAGACATGGAGACAGGTGAAGGAAGGCCAGGGCATCACAGCCGGGAGCTGGCAGCATGCGGCTGTCGGAGGGTGAGCTCTGTATGGAAGGGCACAGAGGGGCTCTGCTTCCAGGGGAGCTTGCTGGAGAGCAGACAGCACTAGGTGCAGATTTCTGCCACTCAGGTGCTCCCTGAGCCAGATAACATTAAACCTGGGAGCAAAAATCTGCCTGCAAGAGTGCAGCACTTGTCCACAACCCTTCTCATGCGTTTGTCCCTTCAGATTTCTACTTATGAAGTTACTTAGCCCACTTCTGAAGCAATAAAATACGACCTTTTTCTTGTGTTCAGAAGCCTTCTGAACTGCTTGGGGAGCTCTCTGTAAGGGCAGGGTCTAAGCAGCCCTCTCGCAGCTGACCTGGGTGCTATTGCCACAAGGATTTGGAGTGCAAATTAGAACGAGGATGAGCGGAAAATAGAAATCAGATATATATATATATATATGTTCTCTAGAGAGCATAAATGGTTGAAATGACTACTCTAACACATCACTTTAACCACACTGATCACATTTCTGATCACCAGAGGATATTCCGGTGAAATAGCCTCTGTCATGTAAAAACTCAATTTTTCCTCACTGACGTTCTCAGCCTTGATGCAAACTCTGATCCTGGAATACAGACAGAATAAGTTTCATAGGAATAAACTACACTTCTCCTGCATTTCTGAACCTGGACCTCCAGGTTATGACGTTCTTCATTTGAACAGCTCTCCACAGCCATAAATTACCATGTCTAAGTCAGCTTGCTTGTCAGGGACTTTACTCTGAGACAGCAACCAGAAAAAAAATGCAGTGCGTGCAGATTACTGAAGTTAATAGCCCAGGACCGAGCACTTTCAGCAAGCGTGACCAGCTCAGCAGCTCTCCAGCTCCCTTCCTGATGGACGTGCACAGTGCAGGCTCCACATATTCAAACTGGGATCACAGCAAGCGTGAGTGCACGGAGTGTCTCACTGTGTTCAGGCAAGCTCTGCATCAGCCAGAGTGCCCTGGTCCTCAGGAGGGACCCTCAGCAAGCTCTGCCTGGTCTAACCCTTTCCCAGCTCCTGCTCTGTTGGCTCAGGCAGACGTAGGCACCTCCTGGACTTGCAGCTCCCCGCTCACCTGTGGGCGGCTGCGGGTGGGCACCAAAGAACAGGCTCCTCAGCTGCGGTCTCTTTGATCTCTGCCTGTGGTTGCTGGTCATTTGAGGTGGCTCTTTGCTTGCAGAGGCTTTTGTTGTCTTGGTCAAAGTGCTACTTCCAGCTCTGTGGCTTCCTCTGACACTAGCAGAGCCGCAGAGAAGCACACCCACATGCAGGGGAGAGCTCGAGCTGTCTGCTGGAGCTTGTGCCTGGGTACTGAAATCCCTGGATTACTTGGGTCCCATTCAGGGCTGAGTTACAAAGACTTCTGTCCAAGAGAAGTCCTTGATCTGCAGAGTTTTGGAGGCTGGGACTCCTTGCTAAGCCAATATCAGGTGCTGCTGTGTAGCTCTTGGATGCTGGTGTGGGGATGGTTGTATTCTTGCTGGATGCATCCAGTCTTTCTTAAGATTTATCTCTGCCCTGACCTTGGGGGAACGTGCTGTGGCCAAGGAGTATTTAACCACTGTTGGTGTGTTTTGTTGGTGTTCACAGTATGTTGGGAGGTGTGCAAGTGCTTTGCTGCAAACATTAGAGGTCTTCCTGCACGCGCAGTCCCCAAAGCCCAGGACTCCTTCGTTACCAAGTCATTAGTCCACATTACATTAGCGTAGGGCTTTAGCTCCACGGGCCCTTGGTTCCTCTCCTGCCATGCTGAGTAAAGCAGTGGTCATCACAAAAACAAAGTGAGGCAGTGGTGACACTTTGCTGTTCTTCAGTAAGGTTCCTGTGGTTACGCTATGTTTTCTAGTGACATCAGTGGGGACTCTGCACTGCTCATGCAATTGACTGGTTTTTTGGTGCCTCTCTTGCTTGGAGAATGAAAACAGTAGTTGAAGGGGAAAAAGTTAATTCAGGCATTTGCATTTTTCCCTCCAGCTGCATTTTCGTAACTGGGATGTTAGTGGTTTACTGAGGAGCGAGGGGTGATTTTTTTTATATTGCCTTTATATAATATAGTTACAAATTATTCTAGTTCATATGGA